CAAATAATATTATTCCTATGTAGGTTTGACCAAAAGATTGTCTGCACCCATAGTACACACATGGACAGCTTGTCAGGTGACATCTCCTGAGTCTGGGCCCGTGACATGTGTGTGTCCAACTCTAATAAGTAGTGGGACACCGGCGTTCCTTCTTCCGGTGGTATCATGATCGATACAAGCAATTCCGGTCGCCGAAAATAAGTGGACGATCATCTCACTCTGCTCTTTCCACGTTTTCAGCTTAGTGACGCTTGTTTCGCCTTCTCTAACTTGTTATACTTGTAAGAGGATGGCTTAAAGCTCTGCTGCGCTGCTTCGAACCATAGGTTCTTCCATAGATTGGCTGTAAGCATAATCTGTCCAAACTCTTTCAAAGACCTAGATAACAACGCCAGACTACTAGTATCGATTGGATCCTTTCGGGTTTTTTTTCGATCAGATTGTAAGATTCGGTCTAATAAAGGCGATACTAATGCCTTAGAATAAATAAACACGTAGATAAATTCTATATCGTGTAAATATCGATATGAATAAACGAAATGTGGCGTTTATTCCCCTATCTGGTCGGGTTCTCTGGTCTGGGCCTGAAACAATCTTCTGGGCCCGGTCCTCTGGTCAGAGCTTATGGCAAGACGTTAGCCTCCCGACACATTATACAGCATCGCGTTAACGACGAGACTGGCAAAACATTATCTTGTGCGTTGACGTGAAGGTGAACCAGCCTGGGAACGAGGTCCAATGATGCCAACGACACGATTATGCCAGCGACATGTAGTCAAAGCCGAGTAGTGCTCGATAAAGAGCGTTAAGTTCAAATAAGTGCACTCAGTCAGAGGTTCCGTTATCAATTGCGCGCTTGCTGTATCTATCAATCACTTTCCTATGGGGAGCGAGATCTTTCCTCCATGAACGGCCCTCTGGTCTGGTCCTGAAATCTTCTCATAGGTTTGGTCCTTTAGTTCGAACCTAAAATTTCGTCTATGGTACTTTGTCCACAGACGTAGTGGCGTACCACAAGGATACCCAAGTACGGTCAAGGAAGCGCAGTCGTGACAAAGCTTTCATTAATATTTAGTTCATTTTTTCTTATAATTTACAAACCTTACTTGAGTGGTTGTAAGTAACCGAGCCCTCCAGCTCTCTGAGTTTAAATGCCAGCCATAGCTCTAGCTCTGAGGGAAAAAGCTTTGGTTCCTGGAGGATTGAATAGCGATTCATGTATAGGGATAATATTATTTATTTCAAAAATGGCAAGTATGTATGATACAATGTATGAACATATGGAATGGCTCTCATAGTCGCTGTAGTGGTTCAGGAAAGATTGATGGGAAGAAGTGGTCAGTAAATTCCCGTTTGAAGCTTGGGCCAAGTGAGTCGACAATTGAAGATATGTGCTGAGTCAATTCGGGCCGGTGTTGACAAAATACTGTTACTATCGAATGTTCCATATATTCGCTTGCTGACCTACTAAGTAGAGTACACACCTCTGTGGTACGGATCGAGTCTGCGCCGTGTAGTTCCGCGGAATGGGTTAGTGCAGAGTACGAAATACCGAGAAGGACCAGGTTATCCGTCATAATCCGGTTGAGAAGCGAGGATGGGGGTAATCCAATGTCGCACCAGACTACGGATGAATTTGGTATGTGTTGGCTGGTCTGGATCGGAAGTATCATAGTCGGAACCAACAAGCGCGATGATTTGGTTTGAACCGATATTTGGAAGTAGTATTTCAACAAAGTGATTAGCCGGGGTATGGGGAACATCCGTGGATGTGTCAGGGACGGGTGAGGGTACGGTGGTTCTTCAACATGCTGGAGAAAAGATCCAAGGTGTTCGTGGAGGGTCCAGATACCGTGGAAGTCGTGGCACTCCTGTGATTGCTGAAGAAGGTCAGAGCCAATGGGCGGTAGTTTCGTGACGTCCAGAATGCGTCGAATCAGTTGTTGGATGCAGGTAAAGTGGCTGGTAGTGAACTTGTGGCTACCGGGGCAGACAGGGCAGAGACAGCCGTCGGTGCGGTAGTCAAGCAATGTGAACATGTACGTATTCGTTACAGTCATAGCACAGAGCCAGATTGGTGTAAACTCGAAGCAGCGATTGAAGCTGTCGTGTCTGGCTGTGTCTCGGTTTGAGGTTGGCGGTTTACCCAATTGGCGCCGGGCCATTGCCGCGATCTCTTTGTTGGACCAACGTTTTGTTGAATTCTTCCTGATGTCGTCACAGCGTTGGCGGAGGGCTACATGGTCGGGTGTACGCCCGCCCGTGGTTTTGTGTACAGTTTTCAGGTGAGCATAGATACTGTATAGGAAGCGCAGTGATGGTTTATCGTGGGCCCAGGCGGGTTGCGTCAAAGGGGTAAGTGGATTTGTGCTGGCCATTGAGTCGAGTTGTATTCCCAGGCAACCTCCAAGGTAGTCCGCGAATGGTCGCGCGGGGAACAGGCCGCAAAAATGAAGTAAGTTTGTTTGATGTTTGGGAAACCGAGGGTATTTAGTGCCCGTGATGATGGCTGCTGCTTGAATGAGTGCTGAGTTAAAGCGCTCGAATAGGGGGTCCAACGCATCCTTCCATATAGGCGGAGCCCAGGCAATAATGTTCAGCCCATATGTAGCCGTGGATAGGATGAATGTTTTGAACATCACCAGTCGGTTACGGGGGTGTCGCCAGCTGAAGCCTTAGAATCCATAAGCGCGGAAAGAGGCGATACCCAGTGACAATACTGCAACCAGGGATTCCATATGTCTAGCGAGGTTGATTCCTGGTACTCCGTGAGAGAGTGGGAACTCCAGGTATTTGGAGTGTTTCGGTTCGGCATGTGTGGGCGCCAGTTTCAGGGGGAGGTAACGTGTGTTCCAAGGTGCGTCTGCAAGCGTCGGCGTGATAAGCTCACCATTTATACGGAGGGTTGGAGCCGCGTGTCACAAGTCGGTAGATCGTACTCGGGGTTTAATGACACCCTGTTCGAGGCCAGATTTGCGCCCCCACGCATCGATGTCATCTAAAAAGGGCTGGAGCGAAACCGATCGAGGGGCTTGGATCCGTGTGTCATCGACAAATAAATAAGAACGGAGGAGCTTGGGCCGAAATTGTGCTAGCGTGACAGCTAAGGAATCCATGTAGATAATAAAGAGCTGGGGGCCGACGATTGAGTCTTGTAGGATGCCATTCGTTCTAAGGAATAGAGACGAGTAGATCTTCAATCTCCGAAGCTGGCACACGTTCCGCGCTTCCGCTTGGGAGGGGTGTGATCAGATATACTCAAAAGGGTTCATTTGGGGTTTATTTGTGGAGACGGCGTTAAACCTAGTTAATTCAACTAGGGTTTTGGAACCTTAATTTCTATCAGAGTTTCTGACCGAATTTGAATAGATGTCAACTCCCAGATATATTTACTTTGTATTTGACTATCACCAATTGGTTCTTGGCAGTAGCCAGTCAATCATGCAATTTGTTTTTCAAGGAATGTATGAGCCCTTGTGTCGTTAACAACTCTTGCACCTGTGATAGGTATTGCACCAAGGGCACGTTATTGCTCGCGAAGAGAATTTTTGCGACAGACACAAACTCTGTTGTGTCGTGGCCACTTGGGAAATTCTTTCAACCTGAGTGGCTTGTTCATAAAAGGAACTGAGATCTTATCTCCTACTTGTGCTTGTGACCGATTAACCTTAGATTGCCGATAACGCCGTTGAACTCCAATGCACTCAACATGATCATCCCTATCACAGTTCGTCATAGCTTAATTATACAGCTGCATCAAGCATTGATCCAGATCTGGTATCAATCGAGTTGGTTGCTGTGTGTACGGGTTTTCTAAGTTTATAGAGTGCTCGTGTATAACCGGTCTCGTCCGCCTGCTGTGAATATAGTTTGTCCACTAGTATGTCAACAATGTACGTGCTGTCATTGTAGATGGTCGTGTCGATTGACAAGATAACTTACTCATTGCGGGGCCCAAGGGTACTCCCCGAGGTGGGGGTTGGTCGTCCAATTGCATCCTTTTTTTATGTAGCTTAAGCTGATGGCATTGTTTTCGCTTGAATTGCCTGAGGTGTGGCTGTACCGTGTGCATTTATTCTGTTGTGCGTGCGGTTTGAGCTCACTCGTGTGCGTACACTTCGTCGTGCTGATATGTGTGTTGAGCGGTCATTGTGGTGTGAGTATGCGTGGATTACGTGATGTACTGCCGTAAATCTAAAATAGAAATTCGATCCCCCACCACGTTCACACCTTCTTGAACAGCTACTTATGTAACAATGATGTAGAAAGTAAGTATAGACGCTTACCTTCGAATTGTGTCTGCGAACTTGGGGTGGTTCTTTGGGCTTGATAAGCTTCAACTATCGATCTCCGTGAAAGTTGGGTTCATGTGAAGAAGAAAAATTATGCCGGCCTACAAAGTTACAGTATCAAACTTCTTGTATTTGTGTAAACTTGGCCTGTGTTGATTTACAGACCTTGCTGTGTTTATATTGGGGTTTGTGTTGGCCTCCCGAAATCCAGTGTTTTCGGAAAGAGAGTAGGGCGATCAGATTAGGAGACACTTAGTATACCTTACAGATGACACTACTTTATACGCGACAAGTTTTAATCGCGACAGAGGTGAATACAGTACTGAATTTGTGGGGACCTTTAAGGAGGTATAATGTGTCAGAGCCAAGGCTGATGGTCAAGCAACCCGTGTGGGCAATGCTGATGGGATTAGAACACGCGGTGTGGTATATCAGAGATATATGTACTAACTGGTATAGCAGGGATGAAATTTCTGTAGATTACGATGTAGTGGCTGCAACATGTGTACTTGCTCTACTTGTTTATTTTTATTTCTATCTTATAACAAGCAGGGGCATCATTCGTACCATCGGCATCTGAATCGCTTGCCGCGAATGTTGCTAGAGTTAATTCAAAGTGTACCATAGTAGGTGCACATCAGCTACGATGCGAATGCACGAAATGTTTGCGGACTAGACTAGGCTTACGTGTATCATCCATTCTCTACAAAGAATGACAATCGGCGAACGTAAGGCTATACGACGAATGTTGCTTAATTGGCTAACGAAGGCAGAGTGACTACAGGTTAACATTTTATATGTCGGAGGCAGCCGAGTGAGAAGAAGAGAGAAATATTACTTGCACAGCTCATATCGGAAGTAGACTTGAAAAAGGTAACCACGTCAAGGTCATATGAGCTACAAGTGCATCACTAAATGACGCGCACACAAAAACGAACAATCAACTGCAATCCGTACAAGTAAACACGCAGATGACTATCCCAACTCTGCAGAGTGAGGGTCGAAAAAACACTTCCTTCAGATTCTGAAGAACTTAATCGAACACCCTCGTAGACGTCTGGAACTGGACGGGACGCTGGAGAAAATAAAGACTTCGCCCAGGCGCGAAGTAAAGGCTTGTGTGCAAGAGTGGGGGACTCTCATGAGAACGCGCACGTATAATAACTAAATGCAAAACTTGATTTTATTCTGACTTCAGAATTTGTTGTACGATCATGATAAAAAGACATATTAACTAGCTTGCGACAAGCACAAAACCAATCGAGCTTTGCTCACTCCCTACTTGGCAATACTGTATATAGTTGTTTTAAACCAAAACAGATACGAGTAGACTCAAGAGCTAAGACTTACAAGAGAGTCCAGACCTCAGTTCGGTCTGCAACCATGCCGTAAATGTTGATCGTAAACGTAAAAAGATAAACTGCTCACTCGAGATTTACACCCAGGTGACATCCCGAATTCCTGAAACGTAACAAAGATAAACTGTTCACTCGATATTTACACCCAGGTTCCATTTGTAGTTTTATTTTGCATGAACGCTCAAGTTTAACGCAAAGGGTTATAGCTAAAACCGTTATTTAACGGGGAACGAACTGAGGATAGCTCAAGTCCTGAACTTTAAGGTCTCGAGTATCAATAGTACGGAGAAGTAATACATATTGATCTGATGTAGTCTTGTAAGCCACACGTCCGTGATCCCTAAACTCACGTGGCCGATGTTCTTGCACCACTAATACGTGTATCTAGACGTTTAGATGCACGGGAAGCTACATTATTCAGTACGAATCATAGTAGAAATCGAGCATACGTCTGCATATGAAAAGGACGAACATATGAAAACAAGAAATGTGTGCCGATATTTGGTAATATGTAAGTATACACTTGTAATATACGTACACATCTGCGTTTTATAACGATTCATATTATTTCGCCTGCGTCTCTCTACATACCACAGTTTTGTTCTCACTTAATGATACTGATACCAATACCAACCATCACTACGCAAACCCAGTACCCACGCATCACACCACCGACTGAGTACCCGCTGAGCTTTCCATCAAGAACTCCTCCATAGTCAGTACAATCCCTCCCTCTCTTTCCGCAACATTATTGGTCCCCTGGAACAAAAACTCACCCATGGTCATCATCAAACTATCGTCTTTGCCGTCCTCGGTGTCTAGCTGCATAATCCTGGCCTCACTGTTCTTCTTGTTCCTTGTACGCCGCCTAATACTGACTGAAAACCTTCGTTTGCGTCCAGTGACCACATCATTTACCCCAACAGGCACACTACAGCTACGGACAATTTTTTTGCTCTTCTCCTTGGACCTAGAGGTAGCTACAGCTGTGACCCTTCCTCGTTCTCCTTTGATGATACCCTCACCGTTGCTATGGCTATCACTCTCGCTCGGAGGGTTATCCTCGATTGCGTCTGCTTCATCTGTGCTGGAGCACGATGAATCATTCGTGGCTAACGACCGACTGCTACTACTGCGTACAGACCCCCACCGAAAACGCAACAACTCACGAACTTTCTCTGCCTTGTTCGCCCCCTTAATGCTAAACGTACTCGCTCTATTCTTACTCTCTGATTCGCGATTATTCGTACGGTTGTACTCTGAATTGTTATACGTAGCTGCCACCCGCACATCTTCATCGAAAGTGATGCGCTCACGGCCGGTCCTATCGGCATCAGGTAGCATTGTACCAGCGTCCAATGCATTCGCGGATTTGGTCTCTTTATGTAACTGAAACTGACTGTGACTGTTGCTCAGCCAACTTAGGCCGGGTACTACCTCGTTTGGTAGCGAGAGGTGTCTCTGTATGAATATGGAGTCACTCTCGTTGTCGTGTTCGACCACTTGTTCGAGCTCTACAGCCCTTCCAGCGCTGATAGATACAAGGCTATCGAGGCTCCCAACCCTGAAGTCGTTCAGACCCGAGCTACTAACACCCTTCGACTCGCACATATTTGCACCTGCATCCGTATAAAAACACGTACTTGTACGGATCGCCGTATCTAGCTGTGCCTGTGTATCCTGGTCCATCTTGGCAGCCCGGTTCTGCTGCGCAAAAGTATCTTGACCCTGTCCAATAAATGCCACAACATTGTCAGCCTGCATCCCAGTCGGGCAACTATCAGACCTTACGAAACCACCGCCAGAGCCAAACTCAAGCACCGCATTGTTTCTGGTCTCCGTCCCCGCCTCCACCGTCTCCGTCAGCGTGATACTACCGAGACTGTTATTGCTGCGTGTCAACAGCGAAGAAATCGAGGCCGGCCGTGACGAGGGCAGGCTTGTATAACCCGCCAAAGGTGACCCACCGGAATACCCGCTACTGTCATACCCCAGATCCGAATGACTACCCAGCATCCTGGGAGGGGGCCGATTTGAACGCATACTACGTGAACGTGGACGTAGTCGCAAGCGTCGGTGGGCGACGTCCTCGATCTTGCCCGCCGCCGCAAAATTCTTGACCGAACTCTGCTTGGTCTGAATGGGATTGGACATCACATGCAGAGACTTCGGCGAGAGAGACGAGGATGAAAGTGCACTCTCATCTTCACTTGCCAGTGCATTACCTCTACTATCTCCTGCGTTTGCCCACTGTATCCCACTCTGTTGACCCATGAAGTCGGCGTGGGTCAGCAGACTCTCCATAGAGGTATCCACAGTGTTCGTGTAGTTGTAACTGCTATATGTACCCAATACAGGGCCTAAGCTCGCGTCTGACTCTCGTAGCGTGCGCAGCGATGTAGTACTAGCCGAGCGTGCCCGTGATACAGGTCTGAAATAGGTCCTTTTTTTGATGTCATTGGTGTGAATGTTCCTATTGCTGCTGTCATTAAATTGGTAGCTATGCCAATTACCTTCGGATTTGCCTTGATTCATCTGGCTGTGGACATTCCTCTGGTCGCTGTGTTGTGGACTGTAGTGTCTCTGATGACTGCTGGTAATACTATAGGCTCGCCGATTGCTATCATAACTTTCTCCATACGGCGTGGCCGCCATGGATTCTAGATAGGAGCGCGAGTTTTTAAGGCTGATGTCATTGTAACTCTGCGTATTATCCGTTATATGTAACGATCTCGATTGTTGACCCCCTGCAGAATATGAGTTAACTCTGCGTACAAGAGATTGCGTATTATCTGAACCGTGTTGCTCGTTTTGCGGGTGTGTGCGACTAGTTGAGGTCAGCGACTGTGTTCGCAAGAGCTTCTCAGTAGCAGGCAGCATGGTCGATATAGTATTGCTACGCTTAGAGAGTTCAGTGACACTTCCTTCCTCCCTACCAGCACTATTCGCCCTACCTCTGCCTGTCATCCCTAATTTAAAAATAGAATTGGGATTAGAATTCAATTTGGGTTTGAAATTGTAACTATTCGGATTGTACGATGAGTGTCTGCGTCCCACATCCGACTGCGATCGGCTGCGTGCGAACGCGCGCCGGCGCAGAACATCAGACCGCCCTCGTTTCGCGCTGAAATCCTCCGCTACCAAGGATTCCACTCCGGCCAAGCGATTCTGCAGTTCGGGAGTAGCTCGAATTTCCACCGAATCTATATCTCCAGGTGAACTCGTACCTATAGATGTCTTTATTCTCATACACGTATCCGTGCTTGAGCCCTCCTCTACGCTATCGTTTATACTTTGCAGGCTTGACGAGTGCGAGCGTACGGCGTTTGCCAGCGCTATATTCTGCAGGGCGGATTGGCCCGCATTTATGCCATACTGCGATTCCGATTGGGACCTGTTCCTACGAATAATCGGGCCGTAACTGCTCTCAATATGTTTCGTTGAACCCCTCATATGCCGGTCGCTATTCTTCGGTGATATGAGTGACTCGATAAAGATCCCATCACCTACAATGGTTTGTGTTCGCTCCTCCGTTCTTGGTGTAGGTGTTTCCGGATTGGCTGGAACGGTAGCCTCTTGTTTCGATTCGTCGGCATTTTGTGCTGTTTCGGCTTTGTCTGCTCGATCATTGGTTATGACCTCAACCCGTTCGTCCCCCTTGACAACGCATGTGTCCGGTAGTGGACTCAAAAGCGACATTTTCATCTCGCTAGCACGCAGCAAGGTGCTATCAGTATTTGAGTGCTGCTTCCGGGGTTCGTTCTGTGACTCTGAGCGCAATATTGACCTCAAGATACTACCACTCGAAGGTCCAAACATTGACAACGGACGAGTTTTTGGAGTAGGTTTGGGTATCAGAATATCTCGTCGTACATCATCTCCTGCCCCATCACTGCCACCTTGAATACCTCTGTGATATTGACGTGGCCTATTTGCTGATACTGATTGTGAGCGAGATCGTGAAGGTTGTGTAGTATGCGTAGATTCGTCTACACTAGCTCTCTGCTCACTTGTGAGGTTTTGTGTCCCATGGCTTGAACTGTCCCGAGAGTTTTTTCTACTGGCACTCAAACTACGCTTCAATCTTCTGCCTGTGCGAGACGATGATCGGACACTCTCCAGCCTTACTATACTGGGTGTGTATAGAGACTGCACACTCGCATTACTATCTAAGGAAGTGACGCTGTTCACGGACGTGATACTATGCCGCGGCACCTGCGAGATGCTACGTGGTCGTGGTTTAGGTACAATGCACGGCAAGGAGTCTGTCCGTCTAAACACACTACCCCCACTGTGATCACCCCCATTGTCAAAACTCGTTTGGCCACTTGATATCAGCCACAGGTGAGACTTCGGTCTATTGGGAGTGCCTTGGGACCGATGTGGGGCTATGGGTGCCGCTTGTTGCGTGTCAGTGGGTGTATCCGATAGCGATACCGATTGGTAACGAACATCTGACGTCATAATCATGCTCCTCGGCCGCCTACGTGATACGGGATCCGGCTTATTCGATGCGCTCCCAGGCACGTTCGACCATCTTCGGTTGTATGAAACACCTGATGTATCAAGTGTGATGTCTGATTTGCCACGTACAAAGCCCGATCTACCACTTGTGAGATTGGGTAGACCCTGATTCTCGGATACCGAGGATGCTTTTGAGTTTGTACGGCTTACGATGTCTGACGTAAGACGTGGGAGAGACCGCACAGCAGGACTGATGAGTTCTGAGGATGTGGGTGAGTCTGTACGGTTTGTGATGTCTGAAAAGCGTTGCGGGGGCCCTCGCACAACAGGACTAACCGAACGAGAGGCAGAGTTTGATCTTGTACGAACAGCCAAGTCTGACGTACGACGTGGAGGGCCTCGCATAGAAGGACTGGCCGAACACGTGGAAGAGCTAGATTCTGTACGATGTTGACGGCTCGATACAAAAATCCTCGAATCTGATACAAGACGTGAGTCGTTATGGGAAGCGGGCCTGGTTGTCATTGGCGATGCGCTCGAGCCTGGTGCTCTGTACCGCGCCTCGGATAAACTACGTGCCGGTAGATTCCCAGGCATAAATTGCTGTGAACGCTTTGTACTGCTATTGTTATCGTGTCGTGATTGCTGCAAGTGTGACTGTCCAAAGTTCAAACTCGCACTCCTGTTCATACGCATGCTGCTGTTCTGAGCGGGCTGAGTGGGTCTTAATATGTTCTTTATTCTACTAGACGAAGCCCTCTCACGAGTTTGATCGATCCTATAGATAACATTGTTTCCGATACCATTCTTTCCTTTATGTATGTTAGTACTAGGCTTGTTGGGATGACTACCCCTGTATGCACTACCAGATACTGAATAACTCCTCGCACGTGAAAATGCCATATTGCCTTTGCCAGGGCGAGGTATACTACCCGCTCGTGGCAAAGCGAATGCTACTGGTCGACTCTCTGGACCTGTCAACGTATCAAAATACGCTGCACGACCTCGTTGCACATCACCACTAACATTCGGTAGTTGTTCTTCTGAAGTAAGGTCGACTTTATGCCAATCCGTCGTAGCTAGTGCTTCATTAGATAGAATCAGACCACTACTTGAGAAGTGATGTACAGGTAAAATACGACTGCCCATATCCGTTAGTGACACCGTTGGAGTTGATTTGGCATCGCCTTTGTCTGCTACGTCACTATTATTTGTAATTGCGTTTGTATTTGTATTTGTCTCTGATTCTAACATTAAGCTCATGCGCTTGATAGTCTCGTTGAATCGCAGGCTCGATCCATACACAGTATTATCAGCCTCATCAGCACCTTTTAAACAATCACCATCTTCTTCATTCGTATCTGATCCACTATTATTCAAGTTCTCGGAGTTCGAACTTTTGATTGCTTTGGAAACCGTATCTATCGCGCCGCTAACATTCTCGACTACTATGTCTGAGAAGTAGGTCCAATACGGTTTCCCAGGAACGGCCGCAGGGCTATCCTGACTCATAATGCTATGATGCTAGCTCTAATTTTTGAATCTTACCATCACCTGGGTTGGACTTTTATCTCATACGTACGCACAACCTCATGCACTACTCGTTAGCTAACGTTAGCTAAAGAGTGTGTTCAAATGTATTTACACAGTAAATATATGAGAAACACAGCATCCATAACAAGAATTTACTTGATCAATTTCTCATTTGTAATTTTATAAAAAAACAAGTTAAAGTTAAACAAAAACAGCAACAAAAAAACTATTTAAATACATGTATTTACATTCATATTTTTAAATATGTATGTATTTTTATATATATGTACTGTATTTACATATTTATGCACATACGTCAATATATACAATATATATGTAGATAAAAAACAAATATGTACCAAACAGTCAATATACGACATTACGACTCTTTTAAAATTGGAAGGCTAAAAAATGGCCTTTGTCTATACGACACCCGTCACTATAGAATTATTAACGCCCGAGCCCTCTAGTATTCCTAAGTAAACACAACATGTCATCAATAAATATGGTAATCTAAAAAAATAAAACTGATGAAATAAATCATAGCCTCCTAAATAGAACAAATAAATACTGTAAATATGTACATACAATCACCTACATTTAAAAAAAATAGTCATATATTTATATTTAATTCAGTGAAATGTTAAAATAAGTAAATTTCATTTGTAAATACATAAATAAGTACATACAGTACAAAACTTCCACCTGGATGGATGGAATATGAAATATGAGTGAAATTGTGATCCTATTGGTTATTTTCAAAGTTTTTTTTGGTTTCAAAGTATAGAGTTCAAGAGAAACCCCTCCCTCCCCCCCTCCCCCCCCCCCCCAAAAAATAAATTTGACCAAAAACATTTATCCTTTTGTTTTTTTTTAAAACAAATATGTATGTTTCATTCCTGAAAATCAGGGTTGGTACAGTTTGCTGGTCTCGCCGCAATGCTTTTGAGTAGTAGAAATGAAATTCGGGCTACGAAATTTCGTATTTCACATTTCATTTCATTGAAAATCACACAGGGATGAGAGCGGGCCTAAAATACTCCTGTGCATAAAGTTGCAATTTTAACGCGTCAGATTTGAGCGTCAAACATAGTGGTCGCAAAACCAACAGTCAGATTTAGCTTCATCGATTTTCAAAATCCAAAACTGCAATATTTTTTTTGCGAATTGTGAAAATTTGTGCCTATGTCACATATGTGGGTCACACACTTGCGATTTTGGAAATAAATATTGGCAACGCCAACTGTCATATGAAAAAAAAACGGGGTGGGTTTTTGAAGATTTCCACGAAAAATAAAATCATTTGTACCAGTTTCTAGTTCAAAATGAATAGCAGTAAAAAATTGACGCGCTTTCTTTGCTGCCTTTTTAGAAACACCCAATGAAACAAAGTATAAATTTGGAGTTTTACATTTATATACATTTATTACAATATACTACATGAAAATTTGTACCAGCTTCTAGTACAAATATATAACTATGACTTTAAAATAGCAATGAGTTGAGACAAAAATACAACACAATGATTTTGCAGCGCTTTCAGATTCTCCCAATCACAAAAATACCTTTATACAAAAAGGAAAATAGAGATGTGGGGGGGGGGGTCCCACCCCCCCCATAAATATATTACACAAGCGTAGCTAGCGAAGCGAGCGCTAAAACATTCCACACAAGGAGCGAGCGAATTATCAAAACTATTTAGAGTGAATTCTAGCCCACCGCCCCCACCCCTCTCCACTTTCATTTAAAAAAATTGTTCCATATTGACATAGCCCTCTAAATAAATATTATTCATTGAATGCAGTAGCAGGCTAAACTTTTTTAAATATAGATTTTAAATTTATTACTACAGTGGGTAAATTAAAGGTCTGATTTCAAATATCTATTTTTAATACTAGCTGACCTAGCCCTCTAAATTATTATTAAAAACTGAATGCAGTAGCAGGCTGTATATATAAAATCAAATTAAAAAAAATATTTACTAAAAATCCACCCTCGAAATACTGGTGATGAATACTTTCTAAATTTTAAATTGTTTTAAAAAATAACAATGAACGCATCAGCAGTCAAAATATGAATGATTTTTTCAAAACAAAGGATTGAACATGATTTCGGGAATTTAAAAAAATCCCCATACATACTTAATCCATTCTATTTTGTTTAAAAAAATAATCTCAGCTTTCTGAATGATTTTTAAAAGTCTTGTTTCTATTTGTTAAAACAATTAATACGTAGCGTGCGAATTGAATGTTGCTGAAAAACTTAAATTCCTTCATCCCCCTGGACACGGGACAGGACACGAATAGGAAATACTGAATACTCAAGAATGTGTTTTGCGGTTTGATTTGTTCTGTAAAAAAACAACAACGCTAAAGGCAGTAGCAGGCTAAATATGACGATTGTATAATATATTTGTTTCAAAACAAACATACTACACAAGTAGCAAGTAAAGCGAGCAAATTAAAATTATCAATTTTTAATATTACACAGCTTTCAAAATAAATAGAACACGAGTAGCAAACGAATCGAGCGGATTCAAATTAACATTTTGTTTTAAAATTAATATTCACTAGTAGCAGGCTAAAAATGACATATAAAATGTATTTGTTTTAAAATAGTAGTAGAGAAGTAGCGAGCGAAGCGAGCAGTTTCAAGCTATCAATTTTTTTAATACGAGCTTTCAGACCAAATATTACACAAGCACTGCGCGAATTCAAATTATCAACCAAAATCATACATGCTTTCTGAAGGTATATCAGAATATATTCAAATTATGTTCTACGGACGTTAGTCCGTTCAGCAGAAGGCTATGCTAGAGGGTCATGAAATTATTTATCATTTTTTTATAATGATTTGAAAAGGGTTTGATCGGACAATCAAGTTTTTATCATAATACCTATTTCCTTTTTCTATTATGTTGCAGGATCGAGCGCAAGGAGCGAGCGTCATAAAAGCTTAAAAAGAAAAAGAAAAAAATATAACTTAGACTTTGGATGATTTTCCAATTAGGTAGCAGGAGCGAGCGAAGAGAGCGTTTTTCGATAAATTGTACTATATAAAAGTTTAAAAACATATAAATATAGACTTTGGGTGATTTTTCGATTATATCGGTAGGCGCGAGCGAAGCGAGCTGCTTTTAATTTTTCAAACCTGTTTAGGTTTAAAAAATAATAATGTATTTTAAACTACATAAAACATTTTTTTGTCAAAAAGTGTGTTTGTTTCGGTTGTCTGTATCTACGTTTCTTGGTACGTTTTCGCCGCTATTTGTTATGAAAACAAAATGCTCCGAGTCTCAACTACAAATGTTAAATATCAGCAATCCAACACTCGAGAGCGAAGCGAGCTTAAAAAGACTAAATAAATGTACTCAAATGGTTGTGGATTGAATGACAAAATTATGATTTTTTTATAGGATTTTTGTCGCTGACAGCCCCCGGCAGTGAATTCGGCCGTCTTTCTTGCAATCGGATCGCTATTTTGGCTATCGATGCCATTCACCACATGACAAAAAACATGACAAAAAAATCGACGTACAAAACTTCACCTCTATGCCTGTTTTACTTCTCTGACTGCTGTGTGTATACATGTGTACAGTATATATA